AGATTTATCGTGCAGCCCTAATGCACAGATCTTGTTGTGAACGATTACGAAGCAATTAAAATTGCTTTGAGCTTGTAATGTTTAATTAAAGGGATAGTTCACCCAAAAATGTCTGTCATTAATTACTCGCCCTCATGTCGTTCCAAACCTGTAAGTCCTTCGTTCATCTTCAGAACACAAATTAAGATATTTTAATTAAGATACGTAAGCAGCAGAACCATGCGTCGTGATGGTGGTGCACCGCTGCAGACGGGACGAGGAGGAGAAGAATTGTTGAATGAAGTTGTTCTTTTTGTTTTCTTTGTGCACAAAAAGTATTCTCGTAGCTTCGTAACATTACGGTTGAGCCGCTGATGTCACATGGACTGTTTTACTGATGTATTTACTATGTTTCTGGACCTGGGAACATTACAGTTGTGTTGCTGTCTATGCAGGATCAGAGAGCTCTCGGAGTTCATCAGAAATATCTTCATTTGTCTTCTGAAGATGAACGAAGGTCTTACGGGTTTGGAACGACATGAGGGCGAGTAATTAATGACAGAATTTACATTTTTGGGTGAACTATCCCTTTAAATGAAAGATCTTCAGGTAAAAACAGACTTCTCCAATTGTTTAGTCATCTTAAACTGCATTTCTACAGTTCATCTGCTTGCGTTCATCGGCCTTCACTTTTGAGAGCAACGGCTGCATCTCAAAATCCAATCACCAGCTGATGCACTGAACCAAGTCTCAGCCCTACACTTCAATGTTTTGATAATCCTTTACACTCTGATGTATGTCACGTTATTGAAGAAAAGATGTGTCTCTGCTTCTGTATCATCAGCTTTAAATTCAAGTTCATTTAAAAAGTTGTGCAAGTTTTTACTGTCACAAATTAATCACTTGCCAGACTATGTTAAATATAGTTTAAACATGGTTTGTGCCATCCACAATGTGCTTAGAGCATGAAACCATTAAAAACCAAGCATTTTTAGACAAGCCTGCTGAGTGTTTCAATACAAAGCAATGGGATTAAAAACATACCAACAAATGACCAAATATAATGGAAATGCACCAATATTAAAACTCTAGCCGATACCAATTAGCCAATAATTGTTTTACGGCAAAAAACTGACGCTTAAAGATGGCATTTACCAGTGTTAAAGTTTTTTTGTGTGTGTGTGCGCGTAAAAATTGGAGAAATATGCATAAGCAAAATGTTTCATTAGAAAAAACTTAAATAAAAAACAAATTAAATTCAAATGCTACAAGTGAATATAGACATCACTTTATAACTATACAGTATAAAACAATGGCTATTTATTTTCAGATTATATTTACCTGTGTTACATTATTTGTTTTTTTAAAAATCAATTTTAAGCAACGTTTACATCACGGCGAAGATCGTTTAAATGTAACAACTAGGGAAATATGCCTGAACAATTAAATATCCAATATCAACCAATATGGATTAATTACAGTTTTTCTCAATCGATTTGACACTTTTCTCCAATGCAGTGTACTTGTTCTCAAAACAATTAGCACAGCCATCCAAACACAAAATTATCTTAACCAAAGTTCAACATTACTGCAAAATGAAGCACTGCAATTTTTTCTAGTAATGCATTTATTAAAGGGGTGGTTGATTGCGGTTTCACTTTTTTAACGTTAGTTATTGTGAAATGTTGCTGTTTGAGCATAAAAATTATCTGCAAAGTTGCGGCGCTGAAAGTTCAATGCAAACGGAGTTATCGTCTTTTAAAATTCTGGCAGTTTAATGCCTGCAAAAACGGCTGGTAGGGACTACAACGAGTTACTTTCCGTGACATCACAAACCCAGATAAACCCCGCCCTCGGGAAAAGACAGCAAAGGGGGCGGGGCCATGCTGCGCTGCTTTAGAGAAGAGGAAGAGAAAACTAGAGGTGCACGTAACAATCTATTCATATATGAATCACGATTCTGTCTTCTAACGATTCTAATGGATTCACACGTTTCAAAATCAATGTTCTAAAGCAGCGGTTCTTAATACTTGCTGTTTTTCTAGGCACAATCAAGCCTAGAAAAAAAACCAGTCAACCACTCTTTTAAAATAAGTAAATATTAACATCAAATCTACAGGTGTGTTCTCTATTGATTATAAAACACATTCAGCTGTAGATGCACAAATATGCTAATGAAAATACATGTTTACTGCAATTCTTCAACAGGGAGTTTTGTTTTATAAATATTGTGTATATCTAAACGAAATAAAAATTGTTATCCAACATCTGCTTTAAACTTAAAATCTGTTTGTGCCACCTTTAGCAGCAAGATATCTACAGATCAGTCTTTTACAGCACAGTGGTGGATATATGTTTGCTGTATACATGAATTATCCTGAACTATTGATCTTGCCTTTCATTTACATCGGGAAGAGAATTTCATTGCATTTTATCTACACTGCATCATAGAAGAATGTAAAAATGTAAGAAGGTTAAATCCATGCTTGAACAGCTCCTGTCTAAACATCTCTACAGGCCTGTTTCTTTACGGACCACCGCGTCAACAATGCTTCAGTTACATTAAAAATAATCTTGATTGTTCACCTGAATGATCTCAAACTTCAATTCTGAAAAATGTTTGGACAATTACAGTAAATAACAGAAGTTTTCCCAGGAGGAGTACAAATCTGTGCTATCAACAATCATAGTACAAGAGTTTTGACTCTTTTATTATTACTCGAGCAATTGTGATCAATGTGTAAACGATCAGTTTAGGGCCAATCGGAAATATACCACGTTCATTTGATAGAATGACAAATGAGTTTGTTTGTTGTGTTTGGACAAATAGTACATAAATGTTTGTGATTTGAGTAAAATATTTTTTTTTTCCCAGATATTTTTAAGTATTGGTTGGTTGTATTAACTATTGTGAAAACATTTGACAGTTTTGTGCACATCGTTTTGAAAAAATTATTTGCATGATTTGTAATTTGTATGAAATGAATCAAAATGTACATCTGTTATGACAATTATAAAGTGTGTTAACTGTTTTGCGAACAGTGACCCGAGTTTGGAGAAATGTGTCAAATCGATTGAGAAAAACTGTAGTAAAATCTCTAATATCATCTGGGGTAGGAGACCTGACATGGTCTATACAGCGGGTTAAATAAGTATTGAACACGTCACCATTTTTCTCTATATTTCTAAAGGTGCTGTTGACTTGAAATTTTCACCAGATGCCAGTAACAATCAAAGTAATCCATACATACAAAGAAAACAAAACAAATAATTTCAGAAATTAAGTTCTGTGTAATAAAATGGAATGACCCAGGGAAAAAGTACTGAACACATGAAGAAAGGGAGGTGCAAAAAGGCTTGGAAAGCCAAGACACCAGCTGAAATCTATCAGTAATTAGAAAGTCAGTGGAAATTAATATTAGCTGGTTCAGTCCCAACACCTACAGAACCAGGATGATGAAGATGAAACAAGGCTGGACAATGATCCCAAACACAGCCAAGGAAACTCTCAACTGGTTTCAGAGAAAGAAAGTAAAGCTGCTAGAATGGCCAGCCAGCCACCTGACTTGAATCCAATAGAAAATAAGTTCATAGAGGAGGCTCACAGCACCTTCACGATTTGAAGACTGTTTGTGTGGAAGAATGAGCCAAAATCACACCTGAGCAATGCATGCCACTAGTTTCTCAGACAGCTGTCATCACCAACAACAGGCTTTTGTACGAAGTATTAAATACATTTCAGTAAGCGTGTTCAATACTTATTCCCGGTGTCATTCCATTTGTTTTATTTGCATGTATAGATTACTTGGGTTGTTACCGACATCTGGTGAAAATTTCAAATCAACAGCACCTTTAGAAACATATTCACTGAGGAAAATGTTGACGTGTTCAATACTTACTTTTACCCGCTGTATATATCATGCAACCCAAAAATGAATTGCATTTTGTGCACAACGTAGCGTTGCGACTCTACAGCAGCGGTTCCCAACCCTGGCCCAGGAGGCACCCCAACACTGCACATTTTGCACATCTCCTTTCTCCGACACACCAATTCCAGACGTTGGAGTCTCGACTAATGAGCTGAATCAGGTGTGTTTGATTAAGGAGACATGCAAATCGTGCAGTGTTGGGGTGCCTCTGAAGCACTATAGTTACCCTTTGCTCCAGCAGGGCTCTGCGGATGGACACGCTCTGCTCCAGCTCCTTCACCTCCCTCTCGTGCTGTGCGTCCGTGTGCATCTTGATCTTGCTCTGGTAAGCGTTGAGCAGCTCTAGCTCCTGCTGCAGCTGCATCCTCAGCGACTGATACTCGGCCTCCTGCGCCTCGTCCAGCCGCAGCTGCACACAAACACACAGAACAACAGAGGTCAGAGAAGCGGACCGGATCGGCCAGAGCGGGGCGGACCGTGTCTTACTCACAGCCTGTGTGGACAGCATGTCGTTGATGGAGTGGTCGTACTGCTCGGCCAGAATGGCCAGCTTGCGGGTCTGCTCATCTTTGAGACGCTTCAGCACGGCCTTGTGGTCCGACTTGGGTGTGTTCTCCAGCAGGTGGTTCCTCAGCGCTTTATACTGACGCGTCTGGATCTTACACGTGTCCTGGAACTGACGCTTAATCTGCAGTTCTTTGGACTACAGGAACAGGGAAGAGCGTGGTGACTAGATTTGACACCAGACGGGAGGAAAGAGCGGAGGGAAGACAGAACTGCGCTCGCACTGCTTAGAAAACACTTCAGAATGACATTTTAATGTAGCATGTGAAAATGTAAGAATTAAAACTTAGTAATTTTTACCTGATATTTTAGACTTGCAGTGTACAACTGAATTCCTCTTAGATCTAACATGTGACCCTGGAGCACAAAACCAGTCATAAGGGTCAATTTTATCATAAGAATTCATAATAAACATGCTTGAAGTGAAAAAAAATAAAGAAATTAAAGCAGCAGCAGGACCATATGAATGAAAAACAAAACTGAGATGAAGAATTCTAACAAAATATGAAATGAACCAAAGGACAATGATCATAATAAAGAAAATTTATTTCAGAAACATATAACAGAAATCTTTGTTTGAACTTTAAGTAAACATCCATTCATGCACAAACACAAAATGAGGATGAAACGCACACAACGGCCCTGAAACAGACGTGCAATGCAACATAAAACTACACAAACATTCCTCAAATAATAATAAAGACAAAATTTGTGATTTGGCTAAAAAAACAAAGGGAGCACAGAATATGTAAACGAAGTAACGAGACAAAAAATGAAATAACACAAAGACAAACTTGAAACAGTAAATTGCCAATAACTGGAACAAATATGGCTAAAACTGAAATGCTTCCTTTTTGCCAAGAAATAGAATTTTCTTAAAATAGACAGCATTTCCTCATCACTCGTGTAGTAGACTAATGGTCCCTTTGATAATCTTAAGATTTCTATGAAGCATTTCAAATAAAGATGATGTGTGTGCAGTGCAAGCTATTCTTTATCACTCCAACCATCACCCTCTTCACTTCTTATGTCACAACTCTGTGTAATCTGTGATGATTGTCATAATTGCTTCTTATTACAGCCTTTAATATGCAGTGAAAAGAGCACTAATAAATATGAAATAACAGTGCCATGCAAACATTGAAAACTAGGGCTAACTTGTGTAAATGCTTCATCTAAACAGGCTAGACCTCTCTTCAGAAGGATATGATCAAAACACTCGTTTACATGGTAAATATGATCAGATCATTGCCTCTAGTGCAAGAACACATCTACTAACACATCTGCTCATATACTGTCGAGTAAAACTGATCCGGTCTGAGATTTCCCTCGAAATAAAACTGCACATCTCATATGCTGATTTATAATAGATCACCCATATTTCACCTAAAGTTATGAGATTGACGTTTAATTTAACAACAACATTTAATAAAGTTCACTGCTAGTGTCAGAACTGAATGAACAGCATTCAGAATGGTTCATCCATCCGATCCTGTGGCATAGAGAACTAACAGCAAACCATTCAATAACCCTAATGTATGATTTATATAACGGCTGCGGTTCATTTTGGCAAGGACGCAGATTTTGCAAGTGTTTGATTGTCATTTTCTGAGGTCCTGCCTCTAAATCATCCAGCGAGAGGACTAAACATTTCTGAGGACAGCTTCAGCTGCTTTTAGTTGCTTCTGAAATGATATCAAACACTGATTGTGCAACAACATGCAGCCTAGTTTCTGTTTCTATTTCAATACAAACGTTCCTCGAAAAGCATCGGCGCTTCATCTAATGCACTTCTGGAAGAGTCAGAGCTTGTAGTGTTGTGTTTTTGGGAGATCTATAGTGTAAAGCGCTGTATTATAATCCACTTTCAGTCAAATAATTCAGCATTTAACTTCACTGAAAGGTCATTTTCACACCATTTTGGTTTCGCAATATAATTTCATTGTTGAAATTAAGACCCCCTTCAAAATGAAATAACAAAAACTAAATCAAGATTGCACAGGCATGGCTTCAGCAATCACCATAACACATATAGCTCATGCTATTTGAGAATAAAATAACTCAAGAGTAAAAAAACAAAAAGAAACTTTTACAAAAAGCACAATAATCGACTGAAGCTTTGCATTCACGGCGACAGTGAATGAGGGAGCTGGAATAAAACGGTGCATTAATCTTAAAGCAACAGTTCACCTAAAAAAGGAAATTCTGTCATCATTTACTCAAGCGAATGCCGTTCCAAACCCGTAAGACTTTGGTTCATCTTCAAACACAATTGGACGACATAAAAGAAACCTGAAAGATTTCTGTCCCTCCACCGAAAGTAACCAAAACTTAGAAGATCGAAAAAGTTTATAAAGGCATCATAAAACGAATCCATAAGAACTGAGCTGATTGCTTTTTATAATGATGGACACACACATGGCATATCAAATATGCATAAGCTCAATGCTTGTGTGCGAATAAAAGACTACATTAAATCTGTTCATCCTCTAAAGCAGCCGTGTCTCTTCACCAGACTTGCATACAACGGCTTGATTCACATGGATTTGTTTTGCCTTTTTGGAAGTTTTTGTTGCCCGTTACCTTCTTTATTTTCAACAGAGAGACCGAAACTACTCGGGTTTTATGAAAAACATCTTAATTTGCGTTTCGAAGTCTTGTTAGAGTGAGTAAATGATGGCAAAATGTGTGTGAACTCTCTCTTCAACTCAGTCCTTCCCTGTAAGAACAGCACGTGGAGGAGTGATGCGAGCAGACGGACTGCAGTGAATCACACATACCTCCTTCCCTCCGTCTCAATCTATCTCCAAGGCACCATCTTTCCTTTCAAGCTCCTCGCTGACGGGGTTCTCCTCAACACACTCTCCCACCTGCCTTCCTCCCTGTACCTCCTCTCTCGCTCCTCCCTCCTCCTCCTCCTCTGCTCCCTCACGGCTCGGGGCAGGAGGATCGGGAGCTTGCTGGCTCTCTCTCTGCGCAGGATCCCGCAGGCCTGCAGGCGTCTCAGCTGATTCTGAGGCAGCTCCTTCAGCAAACGCTTGGCTAAACGCAGCACCACGGAGTTAGCGAGGTCCGTCAGAGTGCCGAGAGGCCGGCGGACGAACCGTCGGCCCAAAAGCATGCACCGCGCAAACAAGACGGAGCATCTGCTTTTGGCCCGATACTCCGCTCCAAGGCTTCTCACAGGCACTGGGATTCTGGACTGCCGCCCGGCCCAGTTGCGTCCGGCTTTGGGGAACATGTCGTAGAGGCTTCGCTCGGTCAGGCCGCCGAGGAGCGACTGGCACACGGCGAACACTGGCTTCGGCAGACGGAACAGAACTCGCATCCAGAGGCGACTGAGTTTGCGTGGGATGTTCTGGAGGAAAACCCTGGCCGGACGCAGCACCAGAACCACCACCAGATAGAGGGTGAGGAAGAGCGACGGCGAGCTGAGAAAAGACGCCGAAACCAAGGCCACTGGGACATAATAGAGCCCCAAGCTCAAAGACAAACCTAGACTGAAGAGTCCGGAGCCCCAGTAGGCCAGCGAGAGGTACGTGGAAAACGCGAGCGAGCAGCAGGAGCGCAGGAACAGGTAAGAAAAGACGAGCGCCAGGAAGGCCAGCTCGCCCGAGAGAAGCACGGAAGCCAGCGGAGGCGAGCGGCGCAGGGAAAGCAGGAAGACGGAGAGGAAGAGGAGGGTGAGGAGGGACGGACGCATGGCGGCGGAGAGCGAGAGCACGAGGCAGATCGCGTGAGAGAAGAGCGAGGGAAGCGACGGCTGCGAGGAAGAGGAGGCAGGCGTGTAGACCGGCGGAGGCTCCAGCTCTTCTAGCGTATCCGGGAAGTAGAACTGCTATTTGAGAATAAAATAACTCAAGAGTAAAAAAACAAAACAAAGAAACTTTTACAAAAAGCACAATAATCGACTGAAGCTTTGCATTCACGGCGACAGTGAATCAGGGAGCTGGAATAAAACGGTGCATTAATCTTAAAGCAACAGTTCACCTAAAAAAGGAAATTCTGTCATCATTTACTCAAGCGAATGCCGTTCCAAACCCGTAAGACTTTGGTTCATCTTCAAACACAATTGGACGACATAAAAGAAACCTGAAAGATTTCTGTCCCTCCACCGAAAGTAACCAAAACTTAGAAGATCGAAAAAGTTTATAAAGGCATCATAAAACGAATCCATAAGAACTGAGCTGATTGCTTTTTATAATGATGGACACACACATGGCATATCAAATATGCATAAGCTCAATGCTTGTGTGCGAATAAAAGACTACATTAAATCTGTTCATCCTCTAAAGCAGCCGTGTCTCTTCACCAGACTTGCATACAACGGCTTGATTCACATGGATTTGTTTTGCCTTTTTGGAAGTTTTTGTTGCCCGTTACCTTCTTTATTTTCAACAGAGAGACCGAAACTACTCGGGTTTTATGAAAAACATCTTAATTTGCGTTTCGAAGTCTTGTTAGAGTGAGTAAATGATGGCAAAATGTGTGTGAACTCTCTCTTCAACTCAGTCCTTCCCTGTAAGAACAGCACGTGGAGGAGTGATGCGAGCAGACGGACTGCAGTGAATCACACATACCTCCTTCCCTCCGTCTCAATCTATCTCCAAGGCACCATCTTTCCTTTCAAGCTCCTCGCTGACGGGGTTCTCCTCAACACACTCTCCCACCTGCCTTCCTCCCTGTACCTCCTCTCTCGCTCCTCCCTCCTCCTCCTCCTCTGCTCCCTCACGGCTCGGGGCAGGAGGATCGGGAGCTTGCTGGCTCTCTCTCTGCGCAGGATCCCGCAGGCCTGCAGGCGTCTCAGCTGATTCTGAGGCAGCTCCTTCAGCAAACGCTTGGCTAAACGCAGCACCACGGAGTTAGCGAGGTCCGTCAGAGTGCCGAGAGGCCGGCGGACGAACCGTCGGCCCAAAAGCATGCACCGCGCAAACAAGACGGAGCATCTGCTTTTGGCCCGATACTCCGCTCCAAGGCTTCTCACAGGCACTGGGATTCTGGACTGCCGCCCGGCCCAGTTGCGTCCGGCTTTGGGGAACATGTCGTAGAGGCTTCGCTCGGTCAGGCCGCCGAGGAGCGACTGGCACACGGCGAACACTGGCTTCGGCAGACGGAACAGAACTCGCATCCAGAGGCGACTGAGTTTGCGTGGGATGTTCTGGAGGAAAACCCTGGCCGGACGCAGCACCAGAACCACCACCAGATAGAGGGTGAGGAAGAGCGACGGCGAGCTGAGAAAAGACGCCGAAACCAAGGCCACTGGGACATAATAGAGCCCCAAGCTCAAAGACAAACCTAGACTGAAGAGTCCGGAGCCCCAGTAGGCCAGCGAGAGGTACGTGGAAAACGCGAGCGAGCAGCAGGAGCGCAGGAACAGGTAAGAAAAGACGAGCGCCAGGAAGGCCAGCTCGCCCGAGAGAAGCACGGAAGCCAGCGAAGGCAGCGGAGGCGAGCGGCGCAGGGAAAGCAGGAAGACGGAGAGGAAGAGGAGGGTGAGGAGGGACGGACGCATGGCGGCGGAGAGCGAGAGCACGAGGCAGATCGCGTGAGAGAAGAGCGAGGGAAGCGACGGCTGCGAGGAAGAGGAGGCAGGCGTGTAGACCGGCGGAGGCTCCAGCTCTTCTAGCGTATCCGGGAAGTAGAACTCCGAGAGCTCGTCTGTATTACGCTCCAGGGGGCGGAGCTCAAAGGAAGGGGCGGGCATCAGCTCTGACGGACATCCGTCAGCCACGCCTCTGTCCTCTTCCTCACACTCTGATTCGCTGCCGTCGTCCCAAGGACGGCCTTCTACTCGTCTGGGATCAAGGTTGTCCTCAGCCTGCTGCGGTTCATCTAACTGCTCGTTTGCACTTTCACCTGCTCTATCTACGGTTTCACACTGGTCAGTAAAAGTCTCTTGGGTGTCATTTCCTTCTATTTCTACAGCTGTCTCCTCAAGCTGCATCTCATCCCCGTCTATCATTTCTCCATCTCTACTCAGCTGTTCCTCTGGCCCCACCGCTTCGGTTTCAAGCCCCTCCCCCTCTCTCATAGACCCCACCCCCTCTCTGCTAGGCTCCTCCCCCTTCCCAGTACTCTGGCAGTCACTCACTCTCAGGCTCTTGGGCTGCTGGCGGACTTCGACGGCGTGTTTTTGCCGCAGCTCTTGCTCGCGCCGCTTGTTGTACTCCATCTGGTTGGTGAGCTCGGTCTGGTGCTGCGTCCGGATCAGATCGGCCCGTGTGTGCTGCACCAGACCCAGCTGCCTGAACTCCAGCTCCTGAGTCGACTCGTGATGCCGCAGCAGCATGGCACACTCCAGGTCCTTCAGAGTCTGTTTCTTGTTCAGGTCCTGCGGCGGGACAAACAGAGATGTGTGGTTAGAAACGCATCGGGCAGCTGTGGCCAGGCATAAACGAGCATGTGGCGTTTAACTGGTGGTTTTCATCAGGATGGTGTTATTTACGAGCTCCCTTTGGAAAGTGTTGGCGGTGTGGATCAACACACTCACTGGCCGTTTGTGCAGCGTTTCCTATTAATTACCTAGACTGGGGCAGCCTGGCAATAATTAACCAAAAATAATTTACACTTCTCACATTAATATTAAAGATCTCTAATATTAGTTTTGTTTGCTTTGTCAACTGAACAAACATCTAAACTGTGATACGGCTTTGTGTGCACATCATGTCTCAAAGTGCTGTGATTGATTAGAGTATAGAGTCTAACGCACTGCATGTTTTACAGCGAAGCATGGTAGTGTGTTCATTTACGAGCAACAGGCTCATGAGCCGGTGTTCTCAGTGTCTTACGGCGGCTCGCTTCGTAGTAAATGCAGCAAACTCCATCTCTGCATGTGCTGAGAGTTTCAGGTGCGTTTGAGAACCCCAGTTACGCTTTTTCACATTCGCATAATTTCCAACAATACACAGAAACGTAAATTTAGTTTAGCAGTTTTCCGCCAAAATAAAAGCTGGATGGTTTGCTCCTGCAAGTGAAGAAATGAAGACATGGGTTTTGTTAAAATTACTACTGTAAAGTTTAGTAGTGAAGGATCTAAGGATCATCAAATGCAAACCGTGCGTTTTGCTTCAAGAGAGCAAACAAGTGTTTCCCACATGCAGTGTGACTGAATACGTGAGAGGCAGATTCACCAGTTGTTCTCGCTCGTCCTCTGCAAACAGACTGTCGTATGAAACATGCGCTGTAATCAAGCTAATGATCTGGGCAGGTGACTGGCTCTTGGCTCTGTACCTCTCGGAGCAGGTCTTGCTCCAGGTTGTGGCGAGTGAGCAGCATCTTCCTCTTGTACTGGCGGCCCTGCAGCTCGTAGTACTGCCTCTGTCTGCGCAGTAAACCCGCCTCCTCCTCCGCCTGCAGCTGCTGCAGACACTCCTTCTGCTGCACCAGCCACTCCTGCTTCTCCCGCTTCGGTGTGGACTGGTTCTCGCTGAGCTCCTGCACACAGGACAAACCTTCATCAGCACATCCGAGCGAAGCGCAAGCCATCACTGTCCGCCGTACCTCTTTGAGCTGCTCCTTGCGCTGCCTGTACTGGCGCTTCTGAGACTCCAGCAGGCTGCTGAGCTCCTTCTTCTGCTGGCCCAAGATGTGCTGCTGGAACTTCTTCTCATCTGTGAGAGTGCCCTTAGACTGAGACAAGAGAGGAGTGAAGAACTTCATTTCTGCTCATGCCATCGGCAGCTCCATCCCTGCTTTTCTGTTCCTCTCTCATTCGCTTTTTTTCTTTTTCTATCTATCTATCTATCTATCTATCTGTCTCTCTGTCTATCTATCTTGTCACTCCATCTATCTATCGATCTGTCTCTCCATCCATCCATCCATCCATCCATCCATCCATCCATGGTCTCTCAGTCACCTCTTTCTCCAGGATGGCCTGGTGCTTCTTGCTGAGCTTGTCTGCGTCACTGCTGAAGTTGTTCGTCTGTGTCTCCAGCTCTTTGTCGAGCCTCAGCTGATGTTCGTCTATCTCAGCCTTCAGCTTGTTCTCCAGAGCCATCAGCTGCTTCTGGTGCTGCCTCCTCATGCGTTTGTATCTGGACATCTGCTCTCTCAGCGCCGAGCCCTGCTCGTGCTCCTGGATCTGACGGGTCACCAGCGAGGCCGTGCGGATGGTGGCGAAGTGGTCCCGTCCCCTGCGCCGGTGGCCCCCGGAGGGGCCCTGCTGCTGGGAGTCCACCTCCGGCTGGTACGGGTCATCGTAGAGGTTATCATGGTTCTGTGGGGGACAAATGTGCATTTAGGCTTGGAATAATGAAGAATTTTTCATGTTTTTTGATGCCTCTTGTGCTCATCAAGGCCGCATTTATTTCAAAAACAGTAATATTGTGCAATATTATTACAATCTAAAACAGCTGTTTTCTATGTGAATATCTGTTAATCTGTAATGTATTTCTGTGATGCGCAGCTGTATTTTCAGCATCATTACTCCAGTCTCCACATGATCTTCAGAAATCATTCTAATATGCTGATTTGCTGCTCAAGAAACATTTCTGATTATTAGCAATGTTGAAAACTGTTGTGCTGCACAATATTTTTGCGGAAACCGTGATTCACTACCATTTAAAAGTTTGGGAAAATTAAGACGACGTTAAAAGTAACAGTAAAGACATTAATAACGAAAAAAAAAAATATTTCAAGCAAATGCTGTTCTTTTGAACTTTAACAACTCAAAAAAGAATCATCATGGTTTCTTGAAAAATATTAGTCATTTTTTCAACATATATATAAAACCTTTATTAACTCTTTCCCCGCCATTGACAGAATTGTCCGCTTTCCACATTTGGACTGTAATACGGTAGAAGCTCCTACACATCTTCTGAAAGAGTACGGAGCGTCCGGATCAAAGCAGCAGCATAAACAAGTGATCGCATATGTAAACAGATCCATCTGTAAAATAACGCCATCAACACACTTTAATCATTATATAAATCAAAACTGCCCAGTGTTACTGAATGAGATGTTGATCCAGGAAGAGGTGTAGGAGTGTGTTGATGGAAGCGACCGACTCCATCTGTCTGTGGATCATTGCTCTAAATCTGATCCGGACAGGGTCTCTGACAAAACCATGGTTTTCTCTGCTTTTTGTTCTGAATGTTGCTTTTTAATAAAACTTACCCACATTCAAAGTGTTGATAAAAAAGATTGCATGAAGCTAGAATTTAAATTTTTTGCTGCTGTTTAAAAGCCGAGGCTCTGATTGTTGTTTTGGCATATTGCATGTTCAGATATTCATAAAACAAAACATTCTCAGTGCCATTACTTTTTCAAAAAACACTGGTGGGGAAAGAGTTAATAACTGAGCATATTAGAATGATTTCTGAAGGATCACGTGACACTGAAGACTGGAGTAATGATGCTGAACATGTTTTGTATTTCTGAGCCTTGGTGAGCATAAAAGACTATGTTCAACAACATGAAAAAAAAATCGTAATTATTCCCAAGTTTGTTTTGACGGCACTGAAGTGTTGTTCCAGCACACGGGCTCAGACGAAGCCGTACCAGCGGTTTGTGCAGCACCAAGCTGTTGGAGGTCACCGTATGCTCGCCCTCCTGCATCATAGCCATCTCTCCGCTGTCATCCGAGCCGTCCGCCAGGCTGTTCACTGAAGAGCTCTGGGAGCTGGCGCTGATGGACATAGACGGCAGCGAATGGGAGCTCTCCATGCTGTTCACCGTGCCCATCCGCAGCATGTACTGCTCCACATCCTAAACACACCAGAGTGCATTAAACACAAGTGAGACGGATCCCCCCAGATAAAAATCTGAAAGAAAAAGTTTAAGCGTGTGCATGATTAATTATTAAAGAATTAGAGAAGATGCATTGTGGTGCATCAAATTGTATTCAAATTGTCAAGATTCCCAACTCTAGTGTGTTCATAACACATTTTTGACAGATTACAGTGTAAAACACGGATAGTAAGCAGAACAGTTTTATCCATCGATCGTCAGAATTGTGGTCTCATAAAGGATCAAGTGTAAAGATTGAAAAATAGCTTTAAAAAAAGTAAAGCCATTTCAGAGACAGAGCTAGTATGAAAAAACACTGCAAAGGGTTGTGGCTAGAAGGGATACAGCTAAAATCAATAAATAAAATTTTCTACCTATTAGATTGTGTTTTATTATCGTCTACTCCTACCCCTTACAATAACGCAAAAACAGTAATTTTGACAAAAAATTAGGCTATACTGATGTGCGCATGCCCAGTAGTTTTAGCTGAATCCCTTCTAGCTTTAACCACTACAAAGACAAAGCTCTTCACAATAGCGGGTCTTGAAAGCAAATAAGGTCATTCTTGAGTTCATTTTGACTTTAAGGCGAGCAATGCGTCAATTTGCCATGATGTCACAAACAAATCACTCAAGGTCAAAACAGTGCAAAAGAACAAAGACTCAAACGCCAAACATCTGAAACATGAGCTGACGAATGTCTGAAAAGAAACCCAACCCTAAATCATGTTTTGTCTATTGTTTGTCTATTATTTACAGTCCTGAGCACCCAGCACATCTGATATTCCCAAATATAGCTGTTCTACTGCCGTGTCGTGTGACCCTGAAAATCAACTTTCCTTGTTTTGATTTGACAACAAGGCAATCTGAAAGGTCATGATCCCACCTCTTCCTCCTCGGGCCCATCGGTGGCGGGGCCATTGGCCGTCTCCTGGAAGAGGATCTTCTTCATCTTCCGGTACTGCAGGTTATCTAGCTCCCTCACAGCGTCTTTAGTGCGTGCGATCAGATCCATCACCGCCGTCACCGGACGCTCGCGGCACAGGAAGTGATGCTGGAGAAACAAAGCCCAGAGCATCATCTCAAACCCGCAGTGTCTGGAACGCATCATGCTTAGAAAGTCTTTAAAAGACGTTTACTTTAAGCAGCACATCAGAGGTAGGTCTGTCCTGGGCGATCTTCTGCAGACAGGAGTCTACGAAGTTACGGAAATAATCCGACCTGAGACGTTAGGAAACAAAATATGCAAATCAAAAGGCAGCGTCTAGCTGTAATGAATTATAAACAATTCTATAAAATTATTACATATATTGTTATTATGAAGCACAGTCCCTCATACCATGATATAATATCTTGGTTGTATCACCACCCCTAATTTTTAGTAATAAACATAAATATTACTTAATCTAATTACTTAGTAATATTTACCAAATTGAGACATATTTGAAGGCTACATACATACACAACACTATATTATACACAAATGACAAATGCTTCTTATAAGTATTTTCAACAGCATATAGTAAACGGTTTTAGGCTTTGAAGTCGAATGTTTTTCAGAGGAATATGAATGCAGCGCTGCTTTGGAAACAGTGTGGATGAAGCCTCTACCAGTGACTGGACTGCAGGACCGGGCTCTCGTTCTGGGCGATGTGGTATAAGGCACTCATAGCATTCATATTAAACAAGGGAGGCTTTCTCTCCGCTACAACAGAGGAAAAGGAAACAAGCAAGCGGTTAGCTGCAAGGCTTCCATTGTAAGCATAAGACTGTAAACAGTAATTTAATATTATTGTCTGTGGTGATCAACAGCAAGCCATTAATGAATGAATGATGCATTTATATAGCGCTGCACAGAATCTGAAAAAAGGTACATTTCACACCAGAGATGCACTGTGTTCTCGTTCAACAGGCTCTGGACTAGGGTTGGGTGCGTTCGCATTTTAATGTGATTTAAAACGTTAAAACAGAGAGCAGCGTTCTCGGTGCGGACTCCCGGTTTGTTCGTTCGTTCTCAAATCATTCCGTGCATTTCTCTGCAGAAAAGGTTGTTTCGAGCCGGAACTGGCTTCTTTCATATTTATCGACCACAGTGCAGAAAACCACGTCAGTATTTCATCATAAACACAGCCGTTCTCATTCACACAGATGAGAAAGAAAACGCTCGTGTACAGTATCTTTAGATCTGCGTGCCTTCGGTGTTAAAGAGACAGCAGCCTAATAAACACGCTGCATGTCATTAATGTTAATCAAAGAACAAAAGAGAATCATTCACTGATCTTGACTGAATATCTCTGATAACTTTAATTAATAATCTATATTTTATTTACAAAAAGAAAACTATGAAATGTAGCATTTGGAGCAATATATAAACGGACTCTCGTTCACAGACAAACCTTTCCTTGACCTTCCTATCACATATCCTCAGGTCACCGTGTATATTATTACTGTTCTTGTATATTGTCTTTTGTATTGTATACTGTTTTATGCATGCTTATGATAGATCACTAGTTAATGTAAACTCACCTATACCATGTTTGGTCTCTATGAGTTCGTCTTCGGATGATCTAATTGAGAGTTTATATTATTGGTTTATACCTATGCAACATATTAGTGTTTTAAGAATGTTTAGTGTCTTTGCATCAACATCCAATCCAGTTACATATGCAAATGACCATCTGTGCCTTTAATTACAGATTCTGTACCTGAAATTAGGTTCAGTTGTATTTATTTATGCTATTGCTAAGTGAGTTGTTTGTTCCTATTTTATTACTGACTGTTTACTTGTCTTTAACACTTAATATCTGAAATTGATATTAGTCTAGTTGTTTTTGCTGTGGTATTTTTGTTCCTCTTCTGTAGGCTGCCGATTCTTGTGTGATTCAGCTGCAATAGAATGCTTTGTAAAATGACACAGAATAAATGTCTGACTTCATTTTTTTTTTTTTATGTTGGAATCGAAACTAGGAATCGGTAAGAATAGGACTCGATCATTCAAACCCTACTCTGGACAGCAGAGCAGACTCACCAAGCTCTATGCAGGTGATGCCGCG